TCTTTCTGCTCCACCGCCTGTCCAATAAAAACGCCCGCTTGTCATCTCCTTTATGCGGCGGGATAACAAGATCGCTAATATTTTGACGGCACACATCATCTGCTTCTGCTTACTGTCACTTACCGGCGTCCTCTCATCACAACGCTCAGCTTAGTGCAGCTATATTTTAATTAAAAACGTATTCCATGCAGGTATGCACTAGTTTGCGTCGCAATAACATGGCTCTTGGCGCCGCTTTAATTAGCCGCCCAGATGTGAATTATGTAAGCTCTTTGATGTGCAACTTGCGTGCCACCAAAATGGAATTTCAATGAATTCACTGAACATTTCTCCGAAACGCGTAATTATAATTAGTATTAATGGTTCATGCAAAATTGAATGATGTGAAACGTGTGATTTAATTTAACACAAATTTAAATGTCGTTTTATGCGTGTGAATCAATTTTGTAACTCTCAGTCAAATTATAAAGGATTATGCTATGATAATATTTGTAAGAGAAAGGTTTTTATTTTTATTTATCAGTTGCAAAGGAAATTTTATTGGATTTCATAATTATATCAGTGAGAATCCTAATTCTATTGTAGAACTTCCATTAACATTTTTCTAAATTTAAATTTTAAGAGGTCTCAACTATTTCTCAATATCCTGGTAGCTTCAATTATTCATAATTTACGTACTATAATTTTCAAAAATCAAACAGCTCTGCTAACTGGAAAATATATTGTATTGTGTACTCAAATATTTTTGCCACTTAAATTGAGTAAAAATCGAAATTACCAAAATTGGGATATAAGAAAATCATGTTGGATAAAAACCCAAATAATTTAAAAAACGTTTTAGCAAAAAATTACGGCGCATTATTTAAATTACAAAAATTGGGCTAAACTTGAATATTTCTCTAAATTGCTTGTCTAAAGTTTGTGCACCTCTTTAAATGTTCAGAATATCATTCAAGTCGAGCGGATTAATGTCCAATGTCTCCGTGTTTTTTTTTCTGGCGAAATGAGCGGCTGTTGCCTTATTCGATTGCCGTGCCAAAGTCGTTATGAGACGTGGCCGCGCATAAATCTGAAGCGAGAGTCAGCAGCGGTGATTTTTCACTCGGCGACTACCTCTCTTCTCTCTCGTCGTTATTACTTAATGAGTAGATTGGAGACGAAATGCTGCTGCACCGAAAGGGCGAAACCGTGTCGCGAGAGCGAGGACTCGCTGCTCATTGGGAAATATCAAAGCGTCTCAAGACGTAAATCAAACGGATGTTGACTGACCTAGCTGACGAAAACACGCACTTCCTAAAGCTCTTAATTGCTTTTTAAAAGTTTTCCTTCCTCTGAACGAAAGTCAAGTGTGGACTTCAGCTGCGAAGAGGGATACTTATTAATTTATGGCTAGAACTGCAAAATTTTAATTATTTTGATGAAGTAGCAATTATATTATAATTTTTCCATAAAGACTAATTTGTTTCCAAGACTTCCAAGAGGTAAAAAAAAATGTATTTGCTGATTTAACCAACCTTATTATATAAAGAATAAAAGACATAAAATTGATTATGTAAAATTTATTCGTGTGAGGTAACTTTTTTTAATTTGTAGATATCAATTCACCAAAAAGTTATAATTTACTTTGATGCTTAAAGAGTAAAAATTAGTTCATTATTCATTAATTACAATTAAAAATTATGCAAATTTTTTCTAAAAGTAACAAAATTATTTTAAATTGATCTTGTTCTATAAACTTTAATTTTGAACTGGGTATATTTTGGATAAAAAAGGTAATCTGCTTCTGATCAATACATGCAAAATCAATTAACAACATCGCATACAGTGTTGTTAGTTTGCCATATAAATGCACCGTGACCATCTATTTGCATGTGCATAATATTCAGCTTGGATCATCAGATGGATCCGAACTGGTGCAGCCGGGCTCTACATTACATCTTGTGTTTTGCACGCCATTTGCGAGGCTAATGGGGGAGTGAAACACTTCTACGCCCGTTAATGAAGGTAATTATGTGAACGAGCCACCAACAATTTGAATATTGGTCAATTTAGCCAAATTGCCTCATTTCAATTGATTAAAGAGGATATTACTGATATCGAATTAAATTCTAGTTTTGAGCATTAGAAATGGTGTTTAAGTGTAAAAAAAAAAATTGAAATTGACCTGACCTGACTAAATTGCTTGTGGCAGTAGAGACAATACATATGAAATTAAAAAAAAATTTGGGTGCAAAAAATTTGCTAATGATTCATATTTGAAGAGTGAAAGTTCATTTATGTTTTACATTAAATATAATTTTATAAAAGATAATGTATTTTCTCTCTCTTCATCAAAGTAAAATGTTATTACTTTGAATGTGATGTAACAATAACAATTTGGACAAATAAACAACAATAATAATAATAATTTACGATCAATATATCTCAATATCGGCAATGATTGCTTCTGTGATAAATCAATAAACAAACAGTTTAGAAGTAAATATTATTTGCATCTAAATTAAACGAATTAATCAAAATTTAGAATTCCCAACTGGAAGAAAAATGATAACAAGACTCAGCAGTTAAATTATAATTTCATATTTAATCTTCATACAAAAAATGAAGAGCTATAAATTTATATTATGTTTCTGATTAAACGCATGCTATTTTTGAAAAACCAACCTTTACGAATATAGAGAATAGTAAAAGCAATATTGACTAAAATTTAAAATGGAAATTTAGTAAATTATAAATTATAAAATAAAACGTTAAAAAAAATTATTTAAAACATTTTGTACACATTCATATTATGTGGGTTAATATTTTAATTTTATATGTATCAGCATCATAACTAAATATTATTTTAAAAACAAATTTTCAGACCTTAAAAAAAAAACAGCGAAAGTTTTTAATCATTTTCATTCTTTCACACTTGACGGTGTGAAATCCAGTTGAGTGGAGACCGATTGATTTTACGAGTTTGATCACTCAAGTGTAGCGGAAAACTCTCTGTTGTTCATTTTTGCGCGAACGGTCACAAAAACAGAACGTGCCGCACAACAGGCACACCTTAATGAAAAATCCGCCACAAAAGAGCGAAGTGGGTGAACGGGCGCTCCATACAATATCGAGCGTGCGTCGCACAAAGAAAGAGCGGCCTTTTGTTTTGCATCCCGTGCGAAAAGTTTGTTAATATTGGAAAAGCGAATAATATCAACGTATGAGTTAGTTTGAGTTCGTTGACTCGACCTGCTGCGCTGGGAAAGAGCATTTGGTTGTCAACAGAGTCGGATGCGTGTACGCGAGGCGCGATAGGGGCATTTTGCAGAAAAGAGGACACCCTGCAACTTTAGACGTCGCCATTCATTGAGAACAACTTTGCAAAACCAGATGGGGGCGCGGTAACAGGAGATGCGAGTTCCTTTTGATTGCAAGCCTAAGCGAGAAGCAAAAATTCTTTATTTGTTGCCTTTGTGAACGCATCCTTTTAAGGACGAATTCCAAAAGATTGCATTCTTGTCTTCAGGTGGTGGAAGAAAATGATATATGACATAATGTTGAGGGGGAAAATAATAAAAATACTCATCAAACTTATGTTTTTTTTTTTTGTATGCTTTTGGTTGAATTTCGATATTATTTTTTGGAAACTTTATATTCAATAAACCATAACCATCCGTAATAATAGAGGAACTAAAAAGAAGATAAAAACATTTATTTTAATTAAAACGGGTAGTTGTAAATATAGATTTTTATATTTTCACCGTGCAGCGAAAACATGAATAGCAAAATATTTTATCCACTTCAAACAAGGATAACGCAAACCATTAAAATTTGGCTGTTTTTCCATTCAAAAACTTTTAATCCTTGCAGAGGTTGAAAGAGATGTTCTTGAAACAGACAATTAAAAATATTATAAATTTACAAAGAAATAAATATTTTTGCTATGAAGCTTTAATTTTAATTTATGATATTTTATTCGTATTTTTTCATGAGAAAGTTCATTGCATGTTCACTTTGATTATATTATTTCACTCATTTAGAACGGTTTGAACTGAATTTTTTCAATATTTAGAAGATAGTGTACATAAACATTAAAAAATCTCATTCTAAATGGTTGACATAGTGAACAATTCATGGCCTAAATTTTATTCTCTTTAAATTTCTCCTTTTCTGTCTTGACATTAAATTGTCTTGAGTGGCTGCGGTATTTTAAATTGACGAGCTGTTAAATTTTGCGTCTGATGAACAGAGTAGTAAAAATCCAATCGTTTTCAATCCATGGGAAAGTAATAATGGCTCCACTTCGCTTTTCACCACTTTTATGGTTGGTCGTAAAGATAGCTAAGAAAGATGCTGATAGTGCAGACTTAAGCTTTTGGGATAAAATTGTGAATAAAATTAGCAAGCATTCTCATCTAGGTCTCTCAACTTTCCTTTCAAATTAAAATTGATCAATACATTTTAATTATACCATTGCAGATTTTTAAATATTTTAACCACAGATGTCTTAAGATCAAAATTTTATGAATTTCCTATGCCAAAACATAAATAATTGGGGTGATAAATCCTCTTCAAGAGACAGTTTTATGTCAAAGCTGTCTGCTATAAGCTATATTTATGCCAGCATTTTCTAAAATGTTCTTGCTATGTATGAGTTTGGAAATGCTTTAAAAGATCGAAGAGAACACTTGAAAATTCAATCATTTCATTTATTTGTAAATTTCGGTTTGAATTAATAAAAATTAAAAATATTAACATGATTTAAAAATATTTTGTTTTTACTACAATCAAACATAATTTGAATACATATTTTATTAATTAAAAAAATTATGCACTGTATTATTATTTAAAAATAAAAAAGTATATTTCACTTCATATTCCTGTAGGGTAAAATTAGGGGTTAAAAAAAAATGGAAATCCTAGAATATTTTTGCAATTTTTTAAATGTTTCCATTCAAAGTCTTTAAATGTTAAAATATTTTCAATGGAATTAAAATGAAAAAAATAGTTGTACTCACCCCTCATGTAGATGTACGCGGTGCCCTTCATGTTCCTCCTGGTGAGGACGACCAAGTTGAGCAGGTTGCCTACAACGCCGAGGGTGCAGATAGCCGGCAGGGCGATGCCGTAGGCGGCCTGTTTGAGCGCCGTGATGCGCGGGTCCTCCTCGTCGTTGAGGGTGATGTTTTCCCTGGGTACAAAGGGGCACAGCGCGAGGGGCACCGTCGACCCCGGCACGGTCTGCGGGGGCTCCTCGCCGCCCACCAGCGGCACGCTCAGGTCCTCAAGGGTGCTCGACGAGAAGATCGCGTCCATGATGGGCATGTTCCGATGATTCTCGTCGGGGGCTGACAGGGACACGGACGGTTCACATAGCGCGCGAGAGCACCACAAGACGAGTGCTCGCCGCGGCGCCGCCACCACTGCTATATCCGCCGTGGGGGCGCGCGTGCGCCCCCGCAGTGGCACCTGTGGACTCTCTCGCCGCCGAGGGGACACGCAGGACCGACTCCGCGGTCAACTCATATGCAAATTTATAAAACCCACATCCACCAATTTACACCAAATCAGCACACACGGTTTTAAAAATAATTTAATGAACTGTTGGAATATTTTGCTCTCATCCCACCCCTGCAATTTATAGAGCTTTCAATTCGCACAAATTAAAAAATGAAAAATGTATTCTTACAGGAATTTTTTTTTAATAATTAATTACATTTTTGCTTCATAATTTAATAATTTGTGTGAAAAAGACTTTCACGGATAATTATTGAAATTAACTATAGTAAAGTGTTGAACTGTTTTAAACGTAAAAAGTTAATATATCAATAATTTATTAGTACCTGAATTAAACTTAATTATTCATTTCTCTTAAATTTTCTTGAATTTGTAATGATTTTGGTTTTCAGTTTTTCACCTAGCGAGTTTTCATCATGAAGTAACCAGTTTTAATAATTTAACATTTTGATATTTATTAAATGCCTATAATATACAAACAGTAATTTTTATATAGCACCTTGTCTTTACAACATTATCTGATTCGATTTATAAAACTTTAAAGCAACATTTGAGGCCGGTGAAGTTTGGCGTGATTTTTGTGCTTTTATGTTAATTAGTTGCAAATTGTGTTTATTGATATATCACAAATTATTAATTATGTCTCAGATAAAAAAAAAATACAATATTGAATCTATTAAAAATCAATTAAAAATCTAAAGCTAGAATGTGGTAACAAAAGTTTAATTTTGTAAAATATTTAATTGAATTACATCACGAGTCTTGCTTTTTTTACTACACGTGGTGTTTGCAGTTGTATTGCATTGCTGCGGGTGGTTAAAATCAAAGAGGTGCTCGCGATATGATCTGCCTCACTTGAGAATTGCGATCGCACGAGAGCGAGCCATCAAGCGGAGTGCAGGTAATTAAAGAGTACTCCACGGAATGCACTTCTTGCTGTTTGCATTCAGCTGCACCGTGTTAAATCCGTGCACACGCGAGTTAGAGCGCTGCGCTCGATAAACGCTCTCGGGTCAGCGGGCGCTCGCCAAGGTTAACAATGAAAATAATTTCTGATTGCCCTGCGCTGATTCCGCTTAATCGCGGGTATTGTTTCCCGCCGGGATAAACTTTATTATTGGGCAGCAGTTGTGCCGCCTCTCAGCTGAATGATAATTTAATGAGGAGTAATGGGGCAATTAGAAAAGCAGGGTTTGTTTTGATGCAGAGTTATTGTAGTTTATTTGCAGAGGCTGAGAGTGCCGATTGGGGACTACTTTGTGCCGGCGAAAGTGCGACTCTCGCTAAAGGTCAATTGAGAGCTGCTATGGGACTTTCTCACCTTCAGCGTGCGTGGGTTTAACTATATTTTCCTTGTTAGAGTGGATGGAGTAGATGAAAATAGAGAAGAGGTTCATATTCAAATCATAAAAAAAGCTTTTACAGGTACAAGTATAGGATATTATATATTATATAGTTTATTGAAAATACCTCATCAGAGTACAATTCTTCAATATTTAAATTTATACAAGCGAAATTTGATAAAAATTAAAATTTTAATTAATTAAAAAATTAAAATTATTTTTAATTAATATTTTTTTTTTTTTAACAATTTATAAATTTAAATAACATATTATAAGGTCATGTTTTGTCTTTTCCCATACGGGCGTAGTCGTTGATGGAAAGCACTCGGTTTTCACATTTCTCGAGGTGGTATTGGTCGCAGATTTTGTCGCATAATTTGCACACGCATCCTTCTCGGGCCGTATGGAAGGTTTTGTCTTTACAAATGAAGTGGTGAAATCCGTGGACTGCGAACCTCGTGTATACGTGGCGGGTCTTGAAAAGTGGCTGCTTCCAGACCTCTGAGCGCATCGCCTGCGTGTCGAAGAATTTGGGGTCGAACTCTCGCTGGCTCCGGGTTTCAATTTCTTTCTGAAATTTTTCAAGTTCTGTAGTCATCGGTAAATTAAACTTATTCTTTATTGTGTTAGCAAAGAGTTCTTCCCCAACCAAATAATAGATCAGGGTGCTTCTTGAGAATTTACTGAGTCCCAAAACTCTTTTATAATATCTGGTCATTAAATTCTCAAGAGCACGAAAATCACACTGCTTTAAATAGGGCCATATCGTTTCAATCCCGTAAGTGGCAATGGGAGCAAATTTTAAAGAAAAAAGAGCTTTAGCGCAATTTAATGAGAGATCTCTTAAATTCCCCCCAAAATGCATGGCTCTAATTGAATTTTTACATCTCTCTATTATATGCTTTGAAAATGAAACACCTGATTGTTGGAAAGTTACACCCAAATAAGGAAAACTATTTACAAATTCAATATTATACCCGTTTATAACAAGTTTCTCATTGGCCCCTCTTCTCCCCCTACCCTTATTTGTAAATTTTATTATTTTAGTTTTGGCAAAGTTAACTTCCATATCATTTTTCTTACAATAATCTAAAAATTTTGTCATTATTTGCTCCAATTTTTCTAAACTCTCACTAATGAAAACCATATCATCTGCATACAGTAGAAATTCAACTCCTTCGATGCCTTCAAATACACTTAGTATATCATGAATATAAATGTTGAAACTAATTGGACTTGAACACATACCCTGTTTGAACCCATTTGATTGCACAAAAAACTCAGAAAGGGAAACTTTATCATCTATTTGAATATAATCTATCTCGAATAGTGTGGCTAAAAGCAAAAGTTCTTTTTTAGAGAGTAATTTTTTATCGATTAATTTTTGGAAATAAATTTTTCTATTTGAAAGATCGAAGGCTTTTTTAAGATCAATAAAAACTGCATATTTTTTGTGTCCCTTATCCCCAATATTAGCATAAATTTTAAATTGAAAATCTTTAATGGCATCGAGTGTTGATTTTCCTGGCATGAACCCATATTGTTGCTCTGGAATAAAATCTTTAAATTTTTGCAGAATTCTCTGCGCAAGCAATTTATCTAGTAATTTACATAATGTATTACTTAAACAAATACCGCGATATGAATTAACATCATTAATGTCACCTTTATTTTTATATAAAATTTTCATGAGTGACTTTTTCCACTCAGTGGGAATTTCACCCGAAGATAAGCATTTGTTAAAAAATTCAAAAAAGAGGGTGGGTGCAGCTGCATGAAGTGTTTTAATATTTTCATTTAAAAGTAAATCAGGACCAGGCGCTTTTTTATTTTTTTTTTTTTTCATTTAATTTTAATGATGTACGTTCTTTTTGTTATAATAATTTCTAGGAACATTTTCAGTTTTATTAATTAACAATCAGATATATTTTAGTGATAAAATAAAATTGGTGACATTAAGTGTGCAGATTACAGGAGCTGTAGAACTTGCAAGAAAAAAACTATTGCTAAATTATTTATATAAATCATCAATTATGTCTCTGTCTCTATGAACGGTTTAATTTGGAGCATAAAATTTCCTAGAATATAGCAAGACGATTTTTGCTCCATTTTTAACTATAAATAAAGCATTCCAAGCAATCAAAATTGTTATTTCAGTATACTTTTGTACAAAAAAGTGGGGCGCAATTATATTTTGAGCAGTTTTAGCATAAGTAAAAATAAACTTTTCTTTTCACACATTTTAATGAGACTGAAACAAGTGATTCAAAAATACCAGCTCTTTGTTGAAAACCGCGGAACTATATTTAGAAACAGCGTTTAAATGTGGCAGTAAAAGTTTATTTTAAAACCCATGTAACTCTGACGTAAAAACTATGATTTTATTGCTGCACTGATTCTAGTTTTCTCAGAACCTATTATTGTCGATGCATACCATCATTCTTCATTCTTAGTAGCTTGAACAGAATTTCTTTTAGTTATTTCTGGTAGGAAGATATAAATAGCCCTCTCGAAGCAACGATATATTCGATTCTGCTCCAATACTTGGGTTACAAATTTTATTAGAGTTCAAAATGAAAATAAAATCCGCCGTCTCGTATTTCAAGCATAATATAATCGGATTAGACGGTGAGAGTGGAGGCGTCTCTGTTTCCGAACGAATTATATATAAAAAAATGTTCGTCTACAGTACGGTTCGCTGATCTCCTCCCTCTCTGTGTTTTAATTTTGATTGGGCGTGTAATCGGAAAGTGTAATTACACGCCCAGTTGATGATCGACTACTCATCAAAAGAGAGAATGCACGGAGCAGCTGCTCGTGCTGGCAAATGATTGCCCAAGATTTTTCTATTTTACAACTCGGCTAATTACTTTCATCGGCCGCTTTTGACAGCTCAACAAAGTTCAATCTCGGCCGGAGATTATGGCAAACTTGTTCGGGGTTTCGCCGCCAACCAGCAGAAAATTTGAGGTTGCTGCAAATTGTTTTTGCGAATTAATGAGAAGGAAACACTGCTTGTCTTTAAGTTTATGCTTTTTTTAAGGAAAATGAACTTTTTATGCTGCAGAACCCCATATAAAATATTATACAACGCCATAGCGTAATTTGCATTTTATGAGATGCTGAAAAATTATGTAAAATTTTATGCTTGGGGAGTTGTGATTATGAACATAATTATGAGACGTTTACGAGTTAGGCAAGACGCGTGTTTCACAGTGGAAGTAGGAACTTTCTGTTATCATTATGAGAGTTTTTGTTGATTTGATTTTTTATTATCCATCTTGCAAATTTTTTGCAAATTATGCTGAAAATGGCAAAGAAAAAAAAATAATTAAACATAATTTATTTAATTATATTAATGTTGTAGACCACTTTTGCCAACAATATTTCAAACTGTTTTAAATTTTTAAAGGTGTAAAATCAGAATTTTTTTCTTGTTGCAGTGACGAACTTGATTATTTTATGATAACTTTT